CTGGGTTCAATTCCTAAATACCACATAAACAGAATAAAAAGCCAGAAGTGGCACTGTGGCTGATGTGATAGAGTGCTAGCCTTGAGCAAAAGAAACTCAGAGACAGTGCCCAGGCCCTGAGTAGTTCAAGCCCCAGGATTGTCAAACAAACAAACAGATTACTCCTGAGGAAGGATGGAAAGTGGACACCTGTCCTTCTGTCTTCTCTTCAGCTATGGCAGCTCTTGATGGTTTTACAGAACCTCCAAACCCACACAAAGCATCTTGTTACTCAAGACTTGGGCTTGAACTTAGGGCCTAGGTGTTATCCCTGAACTTTTTCACTCAAGGCTTGTGCTCTACCACTTAAGCCACAGCTTTGCTTCTAGCTTTTTTTAGTGTTTAGTTGAAGATGAGAGTCTCAGGGACTTTGCCTACTTGGACTCACTTCAAAGCATGATCCTCGGATCTCAGCCCCCTGAGTAGCTAGGATTTACAGGAATGTACCACCAGTGCCCAGGTTGAACTATGCTTTTGAACTGGGGTGTGATGCTTCTTTTTGAGTAGCTATTTCTTCTCAGAAGCAATATCCTCCATTTACTTTTTTGTTGTTGTCGGTTGTGGGACCTGAACTCTGGGCCTGGGCATTGTCCCCCAGCTCTTCAGCTATAGACCAGCACTCTACCACTTGAGCCACAGCACCACTTCTGGCTTTTTTTCTGCTTATGTGGTGCTGAGGAATCGAACCCAGGTCCTCATGCATGCAAGGCAAGCACTCTACCACTGAGCTACCTTCCCAGCACCCATTTGCTTATTTTTGTGAGTTGCTGAAGTCTCTGACTCCTACATGTAAATGTTTTTTGTGACTCTTCCTACCTCCATTTCATCCTAGTTCAATGTCAATCTATAGCACATGGAGGGAATGAAAGTGATTGAAAAACTAGCAGATGAGCAAAATAAGGAGTCAAGTGATGTCAACAGATCAGAACAGGCTTTAATCAGCACTGCAGAGGGACTCCAAGTACCACTGAGGAGAGTCAGATAAAGAAGTGAGGAGCATGGGGGTTTTAGGGTTTAACTATAGTCTGAGTTTTGGATTTGTAGTGTCCTTGTAGTTGTAGCAAAAGGTCTTATTTTGGGTTTGTGATGTCCTTGCAGTTGAGGCAGAGGGTCCTATACCTTTAGGTAAGGCTAAGGCTGAGGTCTTGATGAGTATAGCTCAAAGATAGGGATTCTGATAAGATTCCTGAGAGTAGTTTGCCAGGGAGGGTCCCTGGAAGAGGGTAGTAGTGGGCCTTGGGAGCAATATCAAGTCATGAGAACAAAGCAGATTCACATCAGTAAGTGTAACAGTCAAATCCTGAGTTAAGATGGCAAAAAGACTGGTCCTCAAAGTACCAATGTGATTTGGATCATACCTGCCTGGAAGTCCTAAATTCTGCTTGTGATCTTTCTCTATACACTTAACTCTGAAATGATATTCATCCTTATACTAGGCACATGGGAGGTCACAATAAATTCTATTATATGGGCATATATCAGTTGTACGTACTGAAGGATTTTATTATGACACCTTTAGAATACAATTTGATCACATCAACTTGCCCGTTTTTGTCCCTTGTCCCCCTTTTCCACCTCGCTTTTTTTACTTCCACCCCTCTAGTATTACCCCTCTGATTTTCAGGGAATATATGGCATTTGTGTTTGGAAGACTTGTCTTATTTCACTTGACTTGATGATGATCTCCAGTTCCTTTCATTTTCCAGCAAGTGACAATTTATTCTTATGTTTTGGTGCTGATATTAGGGGTTTGACTTTAGGACTTGTACTTGCTATGTAGATGCTGTACCACATGCACCACATACCCCAGCACTTTTAGCTTTAGGTATTTTAGGTATTTCGATTTTATACACAGGCTGGCCTGGACCATGTTCCTCCTATGTACACCTTCTTGAATAGCTGGGATGACAGGAATATATCACAGACACTTTGATGGGTTCTTCGAAAATTTTTACCCAGCTGGCCTTAAACCAGGATCCTCCTAGTTTCCTCTAAGTAACTAAGACCACCAGGGTGCATCATCACACCCTGCCTACTTTCATTCTCCGTAAAGACTTAGTAAAATTCTATTGTGTATACATGGGACATTTCCTTTTTCTATTTGTCCCATGATTATCTGGAGACATTAAAAGTGAAAGAGCACTTGGATTAGTAGGCAAGACAGACAATTTGTAGTCTTCCCATTTTCTCTTTCTTTCTTTCTTTCTTTCTCTCTCTCTCTCTCTCTCTCTCTCTCTCTCTCTCTCTCTCTCTCTCTTTTCTTTTGGTCTTGGGAGTTGAATTTAGGGCCTGGGCACTGTCCCTGAGCAATTTTTCTCAAAGCTAGCACTCTACCACTTTGAGCCACAGTTCCACTTCAATTGGAGATGAGTTGCTTGGGCTTTCCTAACAAGGCTGGCTTCAAACCTCAATCAGATCTCAGTCAGCCTGTTGAGTAGCTACAATTAAGGGCGTGAGTCACTGGCCCCCAGCAATACTCCCATTTTCATCCTCTTCAAGTAGCTAGGATTATAGGTATGAGCCACTAGCATCCAGTTTATAAAATTTTTGTAATATCTCCTTTGTCAATTGTCACAATGAGAGATTCAGTGAAAGAAGTGACAGCACATGATTTAGCTTTGTGAATAGTCATTGCAAGATTTAGGACTTTATGGCTTAAGTCTAGAAAGCTTTTGCTTTAGGTAAATTTAGGGAACCCTTTTAAGTATGAAACAGGTAGAATATAATACGTTGTTTAAGTAGATTATCAAAAGAAATATACCAATTTCTCTTGTTAGTCTAATAGTTAATATATTGCCTTATTTAATTGTCTTTTTGTTGTTGTTGTTTTTTTGTCGTTTGTGGGGCTTGAACACTGGACCTGGGTGCTGTCCCTCAGATCCTCAGCTAAAAGGCTACCGCTATACCATTTGAGCCACAGCTCCACTTCCGGTTTTCTGAGTGTTTTATTGGAGTTCATGGACTTTCCTGCCTGGGCTGGCTTTGAACCACGATCCTCAGATCTCAGCCTCCTGTGTGTAGCTAGGATTGCAGGCATGAGCCACCAGCACCAGTGTTAAGCTCCGGTGACTCACGCCTGTAATCCTATCTACTCAGGAGCTGAGATCTGAGGATCATGGTTCAGAGACAGCCAGGGCAGGAACATCTGTGAGACTCTTATCTCTAATAAACCACTACGAAACAGGAAGTGGCTCTATGGCTAAGCAGTTGAGCGGAAGAGCATGGGGACAGTACCCAAGCCCCACGACCGCCAAATAAGATTGTTTCAATATAGTTATGTTTTCACATTAACCAAAATTAATATCATTTAATACCAACACATTGAAATTACTTCAAATGGTTTAAGGCATCATTGAAGAATTTGAGACCTTGAGTCAAATTCCCACTTGTGGGTCTAAAATTCCTCACTATCCAATTCACCTAGCAATTAATGATTTCCTTCTTACAGAGGAAATCCCTTAAACAGATGGGATTAGCTAATTGTGACAGTTACATGTTTCCCCAAAGATAAATTAAGCACATTACAATATGGAGGGAAAAATTATGCTTATTTGCTTTTATACATGCTGGAGAAAGTCTACCCATTGCATCTGTGCCATATGAGATAGTATAGTTCTGTCTGGAGGTCACAGTCTCCCATAGTTTTGCACTAGCCCATTATGATGCAACTCTTTTCTGTGTGGACAGAGTTTTAACTCTGGCTCTGAGTAGTGAGGTTTGGTCTAAATCTCTCACAATACAACAATAATAGTTTTAAAGTATTAAGGGTAATTTGCTGGTGTAGTTAGCTTTGTGCTTGTTGGAAGATCCAGAAAACAGTTAGCAATAATAGAGTAATCCTTTATCTTTAGTGACTCATCAGTGCTTATTTTATTTTTAAGTTTTTAAAAAGGTATAGGGCTGGGAAGGTGGCTCAGTGGTAGAGAGCTTGCCTTACATGCATGAGGCCCTGGGTTCGATTCATCAGCACCACATAAACAGAAAAAGCCAGAAGTGGTGCTGTGACTCAAGTGGTAGAGTGCTAGCTTTGAGCTGAAGAACTGAGGGACAGTGCCCAGACCCAGAGTTCTGGCCCTATGACAAAAAAAAGTATAATTTATATGTAGTAAAGTGGACAGCTGTTAAGTTTATAGTACTATCAGTGTTGACAAGCGTATGCCTGTGGAACCCAGAAGCTCAATGAAGATATAAGGCATTTCAATTGTGTTAGAAAATTCTCTGTTCTTTGCTAATCAATCACCATCTCTAGAAGCAATCACTATTTTAATTTCTGACACTCTAGGTTAGTTTATCCTAGACTAGAACTTAATATAAATGGAATTATGTAGTATTTACTCTTTTGGCTCTAGCTTCTTTCATTCAGCACAATATTCGTGCTCATTCCTTTTTATTATTGAATTCGATTCCTTTACAATCCATAATATCTCATATAGCTACAATTTATTTTTTTCAAGCTCCTATATGGACATTTTTCTATATCTTAGAGAATCAAAATGAGGCTCCAGGGGTTGGGAAGGTGGCTCAGTGGTGGAGTGCTTGCCTTGCATGCATGAGGCCCTGGGTTCGATTCCTTAGCACTACATAAGCAAAAAGAAAAAAGCCAGAAGTGGCGCTGTGGCTCAAGTGGTAGAGTGCTAGCCTTGAGCTGAAGAGCTGAGGGACAGTGCCCAGGCCCAGAGTTCAGGCCCCATGACCGGACCCAAAAATGAGGCTCCAAATGGGAGGAGGCCCATTATTTTCAGTTGGAGGAATGGGCATATATCTGAAGGAAAGTCCAGTCCTGGTGAACAAAATTTTATCTACGTCCCTTTATTTATCTTTTTGGTCTGGATATTTCCTATCAGAAGTTGCAGAGCTTTAAAGACCATAACTTTTCATTTGTGATGGGGCAATTTCCTCCTAATGTTGTTTCACAATTGAGTTCTTTTTTTCCAAAACACTTTCTGTTTATTTTATTGTAGGCTTTGCACTGCTGGGAGGCCACCCTTGTTTCCTTACCACGCAAGACATTCATTTGGGTGTGAATGAAAGTCTCAAGGACACTGCCCGGTTTGTGAGCTTTTCTTCTATTCAGAGCTTATTTAAAACTATGGTGGTTTCAGAAAGAAAACGTATGTCTTTTTGAATACTGGCTTTCCCTCTCATATTCCTCTTCTTTCTTTCTTGTCCCTCTTTCTCTATTTACCTGATGTTTGAGATGTTTCCCCTTATCCTCTGGCCAATTTCCATGGTTGGGATAAAAATTCTAACATCTTAAATTTAATAAAACTCAAAAATTATCAAGGAAATGGAAATACATGGAAATTGATATGTTCAGTTGTCACTATCAGAGTAGGTGATATTATGAATGGCTAACGTTTATAATATGGTAAGTATTGTTCTAATTCATTTATCACTGCCCCTGAGCTTCTTTTGCTCAAGTTTAGTGCTCTACCACTTGAGCCATACGTCCACTTCTGGCTCTTTTTTGGTAGTTTAGTGAAGGCAGGGGTCTCAGACTTTCCTGCCTGGGTTGGCTTTGACGCCAAGTTCAAAATCCCCTTACATTAAAACAAATTTGCACTTCAGAGAGATGAATAATTATTTTTTCCTATTAAAGCAACTACCCGTGTGTGTGTGTGTGTGTGTGTGTGTGTATGTGTGTGTGTGTGTGTGTGTGTGCGTGTGTGTGTGTGCGCGCGCGCGCATGTAAAAGAATTTACCACTGGGAGCAGATGGCTTACACCTATAATTCTAGCTTCTCAGGAGGCGAGATTTGAGGTTCACAGTTCAGAGCCAGCACGGACAGGAATGTCTGTGAGGCTCTTACCCATGCAACCACCAGAAAACTGGAAGTGGGGCCGGGGCTCAAGTGGTAGTGCTCGCCCGGGTTCTAGTCCCATGACCAAAAAAATTTTTTACTTTATTTGACTTGCTAAATTTCTAATGACTCATTTTCAAATCTTTTAGTTATGTTATTTCTCATGAGACAATGACAATATTAAAGTGTTGCTATCTTTTGCATGCTGGGACAAAAATAATACACGGACATGAATGAGTTTTTTTTTTAATGGTAGTATGGTTTTAAGTCAGGGCTTCACCTTTACCATCAGTCAACAGGTTTCCAGCAGGAAATTCAAGGCGACTCTTAAATCCAACTAATCACAGAAAAAGCCAGAAGTAACACTTGGCTTAGTGGTAGAACTGTAACCTTGAGCAAAAGAACCTCAGGGGCAGTGCCCAAGCCCAGAGTTCAAGCTCTAGGATCAGGGGCAGGGAGGGAATAAAGCCAGAGGTACATTAAGGTGAAAAAATTTCAGTAAGGGTTGTCAATAAACACCATATGAACCATGGTTAAAAAAAAATGTTGAAGAGTTGAAAAGCCAGCTGAATATCCACGAAAGTATGGATTGCCAGCCAAGAAGAGGGGTTTCACACAGATCACTGGAGTCAATAGGATTCCAGAAACATGAGACAATAGCAATAGTTAAATACCTTGTTTAACTATCAACCTCTGTGGTATTCTCTAAATGTATTTTTTTTTGGGGGGGGGGGGGGTCTGGTCGTGGGGCCTGAATTCTGGGCCTGGGCGCTGTCCCTCAGCTCTTCAGCTCAAGGCTAGCGCTCTACCTCTTGAGCCACAGCGCCACTTCTGGCTTTTTTTTTCCTGCTTATGTGGTGCTGAGGAATCAAACCCAGGGCCTCATGCATGCGAGGCAAGCACTCTACCACTGAGCCAACTTCCCAGCCCTCTAAATGTTTTTTTTTTTTTTTTGTTTAGTCCTGCAGCTTGAACTAAGGCTCTGTCCCTGAGCCTCTTTGTACTCAAGGCTAGCTCGCTACCACTTGAGAGCTACAGTACCACTTCTGTCCTTTTCTGTTTATGTGATACTGAGGAATTGAACCCAAGGTTTCATGTATGCTAGGCAAGCACTCTACCTCTGAGCCCCATTTCCAGCCCTGTCCCTGTTTTTGAGATGAGGAAATGATATTTCAGAGAAGTAATGGAGCTTAGAGATTAAACAGGATTTATGTCATGCTGTTTTGTTTAAGGCCATGAGGTTTTGATCACTCACTGGTACTTCTATTCAGTCCATAAGAGAGAATATGAAATAAATCATGGAAAGTATTGGGTTGTGTAATCAGAGGTTCTCAAGACCATCCTAAGCCTTGATGATTCACTAACTAGTAGGCCTCCCACACAGTTATACTCATGGTTATGAATCATTGCAGCAAAAAGTTACCAACTGCAATCAGCAAAGGCAAAGATACACATTATATAGTGGGGTTCCGGTGGTTCACACCTATAATCCTATCTACTCAAGAGGCTGAGATCTGAGGATCACCATATTAAGCCAGAACAGGCAGAAAAGTCACTGTGAGACTCTTACCTTCATTAACCACTAGAAAACCAGAAGTGGCACTGTGGCTCAAATGGTGTAAAGTACTAGCCTTGAGCACAAAGAGGCTCAGGGACAGTTCCCAGGCCCTGAGTTCAAGCCCCACAACTGACAAGATACACAAACTCCAGGTTAAACTAGGTATGATCTCAATCTTATAGTGAAGCTGTACAAGAGATACTTTATTCCCTTAATAATAATGATTTGTGACCACATATGTGAAATGTTGCCAACAGAGGAAGCTCTTTAGAGACTTAGCACTCAGGGTTTTTACTGGAGGGAGACCGCTCACTTTGGTGTCCTTCCAACCTTAGCTTGGAAATTAGGTTAGGAATTCAGTAAAATGCATAAGTCTGGGTCCCACACTCAGAAATTGAGTTTCAGGTCTGAGAATATGGCTTAGTAGTGCTTGCCTAGCATGCATGAAGCCCCAGATTTGATTCCTCAGTACCACATACACAGAAAAAGCCAGAAGTGAGGGTTGGCTCAAGCAGTAGAGCACTACCCTTGAGCTCAAAGAGTCTCAAGAACAGTGCTTAGGGCCTGAGTGAGTTTAAGCCCCAGAACTGGCAAAAAAAAAGATGGAATTTCAGACTCTGTGGAAATATATATAAACAAATACGGTAGGTGTTTCTGACATGCAATTGTTATCTACCCAGATTCCAGACCCCCAAAGGAAAACAAGTGTTTGTCTATATGCTATATTGTTTGTTAAAATCATTTTAGGTGTGGAGAACCATTCTTAACAGTGCTTGGCTTAGTGGAAAGTCATACAAGACCAGCCTTTCAAGCAGATTTTTTTAAGGGATAGCAGTCAGGCAGGCCTGCTGTGATAATGCTTTACAGAAAAGCTTAGAAATTAGGATACTTGACATCCAATCCTATATCTGCCACATCCCTACTCTGTGACCTTCATTGGTAAATATATCTCTGTATCTTTGTCTCCTTTAGAATAAAGCAGTTCTAATTTATAACCCCAAATGCACGGTAATGCATTAGATGAAAAGTGATAGTCCTTCAACAGAGGTGCGTCCCAAATGTCAAATATGTGCATATAGATTTAGAGTAATTTGGATCAGGGTAGAGATGGAAAAATAGTTATTCCAGGGATTCAAACACTTAGCTTGCGAATTATGTTAGGGAATTGTTAAAATGTATAACTCTGGACCTTATACTTAGAGAAATTGAGTTTCAGACAGTTTGTGGTAATCTACATTTTAAAAAGTGTGTTAGATGTTTTCAGACACGAGTATGACTAGCTTTGTCATACTTCAAGAGATCTGGATTTGGGATGTAATGTAAGAAACCTGGGCCATTGTACTATGAACCTTGGCTAGTGAAGTTGTCGTAGATCACTGGGAATGAGAGGTGGTTTCATGATAATTGATTGTGAAGCGGGAATAGCTAATGAAGTAAAAACGATTCCAAATTTATTATTCTGAAAGTGTGTGTGTGTGTGTGTGTGTGTGTGTGTGTGTGTGTGTGTGTGTGTGTGTGTGTGTGTGTGTGTGTGTAAGCAAGAAAGTAAAAGAATTTTTTCTGCTTTGGGGAGAAAGAATAGACTAGAAAGAATATTGTACTGAAGGCTAACCCTCTGTGCATATGTATACAAGCTTTTGGAGAGAAGGACCATGGGTGACATTTATAGCTGGAGAAGTGTGTGTACGCTTAGTACTAAAAATATGAGTTTCAATTTCATCATGGGAGGATTGCTGAAATTTGTACCTTGAGGGCAGAGGCAATTAGAGTAAAAAGAAAATAAAGATAATATAATATTAGGAGAATCTGGGATAGGGAGGTGAGCGTGTCAGAAAAAGGGTAGAGAGTTGCTACTGTAGAAATTTAACTTTGTTCTGTGTATCCCACTGCTACTTAATCTGCCAAAATATCTGATGAATGAGATATGGTGAAACTTAGAAATTCAATAAACCTTAATTGAGGAAGACAAGAGAAATCCACTGCCTTTCACAGAAGCAATTGAATGGGAGAAGTAAAGAAGTGAATCTTAATGACATCTACCTTGCAATATACAGAGAAAAAACCTTAGCAATTGCCTCCTTAAGTTTTTTGTAGAAGCTTAACTTTTTTTTTTTTTTAAAGATGCAAAAGGATTGTGTGAGGTTTAAGTGACAGTGCTTGGCCTTTCAAATCAAGAAGATAGTGCACACCTGACACTGATTGATGGCATTGATTCTCCAGTCTCCCTGTCTGGCTGCTTTGGGAACCTGGTAGAATAAAGTGCCTGCATGTGGGTGAAAGAATTCAGCAGTGAATGCAGCAAGAAAAAAAAGGGGGAAGAGAAAAACCAAGCCTGTGACAGTCTCTTGAAAACTGTTAGACGCAATTTCCAAAATGTCACTTATTTTTCAAATGATTTAATTATTCATCTACTTAAAATAGCTGGTGAATATCTAGTTTTCCTTCCAGATACTTTTTTAGCAATGAGAATAAAATGCTGACCAAGTTAAAGAAGATCCTTGTTAGAATGGAAAGGTATTCTAGACTGAGTAAAAATTTACCAAACAAATAAAGCAAATAGAAGGGCAGTTTGAAATAAGTATGAGGATGAAGCTAATGCAGGATGTTCTGTCAATGGAGTGGATGCTACCTTACTTAGCTTGGGTGGACCAGGAAGGACTGTCTGAGAAGGTGAAAGTTTAGTTGAGAACT